GTCTCTGCAAGCTAAGGAGAGAGACCTCAGGAGAAACCAACCCTGCCAGCACCCTGATCTTGGAATTCCAGCCTCCCAAACTGTGAGAAAACAAATTTCTGTTGTTTAAGCCACCCCATCAGTGGTATTTGATTATAGCAGCCCTAGCAAACTAATACTCTTACCATTCTTTTATTCTAAAGTCACCTCTAGATCTAAAACTCTTTTCTGTGTAGGGCGTTAGGAAAGAAAAGCTAGAGCTCTTTCCCTTTCCTTTCTGAATAATTCAGCCCCAAAGCCATTCAATCAGGTGGAGCAGAACAAGCCAGGCTCTGCCAGGAGTGGGGTGGCAGGGCACGCCGCAGGGCACACCGCAGGGCACGCCACAGGGCACGCCGCGAGGCACGCTGCAGGGCACGCTGCAGTGCTCAACTGGCTGAGGAGGGCATCTGTGTGGCTGCGGAGAGAGGGGTGGGAGATTGGGACACACAGGAATGACCAAATAAATGCATATATTTAGGATACTGGCAGCCTGGTTCCACTGTTGGAGAAGTATCTTAGAAATACTTGTGTACCGTGCAGCATGTACTGTACAGTCCCATGCCCTCACCAAGCTCCAGGCACACTGCCTTGGGTGCACTCTGCTCTTTTCAGTCTCAGAGCTGTAGCTCATGTTTTCCCTCTGCCTGGAAAAGTCCCACCACTTCCTAAACTGGCCAATTCCTACTCACCCCCCAGGTCTCAGCCTAAGAGTCACTTTCTCTGAGAGGCCTCTGCTACGACTTAATGTCTACATCCCTCCAAAACTCTTATGTTGAAATCCTAATCCCCAGTGTGATGGTATTAGGAGGTGGGGACCTCTCTGCATGGTGATTAGGTGGTCAGGGTAGAGTTCTCATGAAGGGATTAGTGCTCTTATAAAAGAGACCCCAGAGAGCTTCTTCCACCAGGTGAGAATACAGTGAGAAGATGCCATCTATGAACCAGAGGTGCGGGTCCTCGCCAGACACCAGATCTGCTGGTGCCTCGATCTTGGACTTCCCAGGCTCCAGAACTGTGAGAAATAAACGTTAAGTCACCCAATCTACAGGAAGTTGCTACAACAGCCCAAATAGACTGAGACACCTTTCCTAATTTACATCCAACCTAATTTACACCCTCCCTGTTACTCTCTCTCGGAGCGCCACGTTCCCTTCTTAAAACAGTTACCTTCAGGCTTCCCTGGTGGCGCAGTGGTTGAGAATCCGCCTGCCAATGCAGAGGACACGGGTTTGAGCCCTGGTCCGGGAAGATCCCACATGCTGCAGAGCAACTAAGCCCGTGCGCCACAACTACTGAGCCTGAGCTCTAGAGCCCGCGAGCCACAACTACTGAAGCCCACGCACCTAGAGCCCATGTTCCGCAACTGAAGTCACCGCAGTGAGAAGCCCGTGCACTGCAACGAAGAGTAGCCCCCGCTTGCGGCAACTAGGGAGAAGCAACGAAGACCCAACGCAGCCAAAAATAAATAAATAAAAGAAATTTATATTAAAAAAAAAAGAGAGACAGTCACCCCCTTGGTAACCATGTTCTTTGAATTCATTGGTTTAATAACTACCTTCCCCATGAGACTGAGAGCCCAGCAGGAGCAGGACCTGGGTCAGCCTTGCTCACCCTGTTCCCAGAGCCCAGCAGTGCCTGAGCCCCTAGATACCGTTGCCAAATGCGTGAAGGAATGAATGACTTTAAATGAACACAGCAAACTGAATGACAGCAAACACACTCCCTCCCCCTAAACGTGGACCATCCCTGAGACTCATGCCTTTGTTTGTGACAGATGAGAGATCAGGGATTCAGTCCATTGTTGGCTGCTGGGAGGGCTTTAAACCCACTAAAGCCAGGGGCTTCTCCAGTCAAAAAGTAAGCCTCTGGCACATAAGCAGTAAGTCACTTGAGAGAGGGTGGGAGGGAAGATGAACTTACTTGTATGAACCTTGGAAAGAACAACAGTATGAAGGACCATATCTTTCAACTGCTCAGGATTTGGAAAATGCTAAAGTATCATCACATAGCGAAATGGCAGAAAACATGGAAGCTGAGCAGGTGCCCGTATGAAAACTGCTTTGAGAGCTTAACTCAGAGCATTCTGGCTTCAGAGCAACTGCCAACACTTAACCTTTAGTGCTCTATTAGCATTATCAATATTTCCCCCTTACAAGGAGCACCAGGCTACTTTTTCCCAAGAAAAAAACAATTTGTTTGTTTGTTTTTTGGCCACGCTGCACAGCTTGAGGGATCTCAGTTCCCAGACCAGGAACTGAACCTGGGTTACGGCAGCGAAAGCCCAGAATCCTAACCACTAGGTCACCAGGGAACTCCCCGACAATTTAAAAATTTCATGTGAGTGTGTGTGTGTGTGTGTGTGTGTGTGTGTGTGTGTGGTTTATGCATTTCAAGTGTCTTACTAAAGCTAATATAATACATGGAAAAGGATAAACTCATAAGCATGTGAAACTGTGAGAATGACTAACCACGGGGAAAGAAAAATTAACTTTTATGGGAAAGCAGGATACTGATAAACAGAACTGTTCAAAGCATGGTCCAAAAGCTCCTTGGGAGGGGCCACCTCACTCCAGGAGAGAATGCATGTTTCACAGTCTGAGAGTGAGGAAAATCACTTCTGGGATGGGGAATAAACTGGAGAATGTAACAACATTCAACTTCAGCCTTGAACTTCAGCCCAATCTTCTACTTGGCAGTGGCTCTGAAAGGCTGAATAGATGGATGCCTCGCTCAGCACCATTGCTGGCATCCCCGGACCTGGGCGTGGTCAGTGATCCTGGGAGTGTGTGTGATTCTGCCACATCGGATCAGCAGCATGACCTCAGAAACACAGACGAGCCATGTCACCTAGATTAACTGCTCTAGCTGAATATTCACTTCAGCTAACAAGGAAGTTTCGTTCCTGCAGTATAATACTAGACTTTTAAAATCTGACTACTAAAATGTTAAATATTGTAATTGTGATAGTAATTTAAAATGCTGATAAATTTTCATATTTATTCTTAAACCCCAGAAGTTCATTCTATGGTGAAGATGTTTGGCTCCAGCCTCATGTTGATAAGTTGATTTACATTCTCAGCCATTTGGCCACAGTGTGTAATATCTCTAATATTAATTAGCAGGCCGTGACATAAGATGCTAATTAGCATCCTTTAAAACACTCATTTTCATAGGCAACAATGACAAAATGGGAAATGTCAGATTCCTGACATAAACCCAGAGCCCTGGTATATTCTATTTCCACAAAGGATACAAACCCAACAGAAACATTTTTGTTTTCCACCCACACCTGACCTAAGACCTATGAATCACGGGATTTTACTCCTTTACTGTCCTCTACCACCACTCCCAAAACACAGCTTCTTCCCAGATTGTAACCTCCTATTCTCCCTCCCATCTCAGTAAGAATAAAAGGAAAGTCCAAGGGCTCTATTCTGATGGTGGGTGAAAAAGGAATGTCAAATGATCAAAGGTCCCTTTGGAAATACAGAGGATATGTGTCCACAGAGCTGGAGACAGGGCACAGTGACTCAGAGCACAATCAGGTGAATCATCGCGATGCAACTCTAACCACAAACCCCTCCTGAAGCCACCATGCCCCTCGCCATCACCAAGTCCTACCACCTCTGGGGAAACAGCCTGTACTGGGCAGAGAGCTCCTTCTCCCCGAGCTGTTTACACAAATGGTGTCATTTGCTAAGCTGTGGCTCACGACAAAAGCAGTAATTCATTTATTGAGGTCTGGGCTACGAGTTAAAGTAGAAATTTAGGTTAGCAGTTTGGATGAAGACTCCTCTGGTTAGTTGATGCTTTCCTTTTCTGCTCTAGGGAAGAAAGATGAAGAGAACTTTTCCACCTGTCTTTCCATTTTTCCAACTGTTTTCTGCCTTGGCTAATCAGAATATTTTAACTAAATTTCTTCTCATGGAAATAAGGGCAAAATGGAATGGTGGCAAAAAAAGACACCAAGTTAACTCAGGCTAGAAATATTTGTAATGCTCCAGTAAGCAGAAGTACCCAGAGACTGACTTGCCAGGATTTAGTGTGTTAGGAGGCCTCAGGAAATTGGGAGACATGATAAAGGAGGTCAGGCTGGACCTCAGACCCTTCAGCTTCCCATCCAGACAGAATCAGCCAGCGGCCCAACTAGACTACGTCCAGAGACTGTCAAGGCAAAGTGCTATAACATTAAGATAAAACAATGACCAAACACAATTTGGACTACTGATCAGGAAAGATAACACAGGACAGTTTCAGAGAAGCAATCTGTGATTAGAAGAGAAATGCTAATAAATGAAATAACCTTATGAAATTCTAGTGTGATACATTACAAAATTGGGGGAAAAAAGAGAAAACGAAGGTTCAAATTAATAAGTTTCTGCTTATAATCCTCCTTTTGGAATTTCTGACATCAAAGAGCTCAGAAGGCTTCAACTTACTAAGCACCAAGGAAAACAAAAGGCATTTTATTTCTCACTTGAAATGTCGCCCTTGGGAATCTGCTGCACAATCACCAGTAAAGGCCAGGCTGGGAGAAGCTCAAACTTCTCACATTTTCCCAGTCAAGTCATAATATACATCAAAGGAATCCATCCTTTGCCATCCCCCTGGACTCTACATCTGTTTCAAAGTGTTATATGAAAAGCTTGAGAGTTCTGAACATCAGCACAGCAGGTCAGAACTAAGCTTCAAGATCATAAACTTCCTCTCGCCACCTTCAGAGCTCAGAGTTCAGGCCCTGAGGGCATCCCCATGTAACAGCTGATGGCTCAGTTCAAGTGAGCAGCTCCTCTAGACAGTATTCTAATAGTGGCAGGAGCTGGGGTCACGAGCATCTCCAGGGAGCCACAAGGTCAGGGAACACCAGCCTCACAGCAGACTCATCCCCTGAGGTTGGACAAGCTCAAGGAGGAAAGAAGAAAGGCTCCCATGGGAGATGGTATTTCCCGGATCCCCTCAAACACTTAACCACAGCTTACCTTGGTACAAGGTGGTTGAACTTGTAAGAACTGAAGACCTCTTGGATCTTTTCTTCTACTTTTGCCTGGTAAGGATGCAGGAGATGGGAGAGAGAAAACAAATACAGATGAGACCTTTATCCACTTTATGTTCCTATTGCCACAAATGCCTACCAGCTAGAGTTCCTTGGTGCGACTTTGTACCTCACAGCATAACAAGACTGCATTCAGGGGCTCTGCAGGATGACAGGCTTGGGACAAGGACAGAGAGAGAAAGAATGCCCTGTACCACATTAGCATCACAACCGACTTCTCCAGTAAACTAATCCATGGTATCCAAACTAATGGCGATTCTGGAGTTTGGCACCCTGGCACCAGTTACTCAGGGAGCAGGTGAAGATGGACCCCTTTTGCTTGAAAGACCTGTTCTTGCCTGCTCTATGAAGTTGTTTAGGTGTTCGTTAACCGGCCATTCTCAAATATGCAATTAATTTCTGCCAAGGGTCCTACTTCTTATTGTCAGATTTAATGGTTTAAATATAGATTGAACAGTATTAAAATCCCCAAAGGGATTTACAAGAACATCAATCATGGAAACACCAAAGAAATAGCACACCTGGTCATTGGACCTGTGTCACACACCAGACTCCACAGTCCCATAAAACAAAGGATCTCGGAAAGTCAGGTCACAAAAGGAATGAGATGACCTGTCTCCTCTGAAGATCACACCATGATGTGGTCAGACAGCACAGATTCTGTAAGGAAAGGGTACGGCAGTGCAGGAGGGGGCTGGTCAACGGGATACAGGGTTTCACCTTCACGGCCATCCCTGCTTTGTGGTGAGGCAAGTCCTTGCTGAGATTTCAAGATATATAATAATGTCCTCTCTGGGAAATATCAAAAATGCATTATTTGTTTCTGAAACACCTGAGTTAGAGCTTCCAGTTCCTTTTTTTTTTTTTTTTGCGGTACGCGGGCCTCTCACTGCTGTGGCCTCTCCTGTTGCGGAGCACAGGCTCCGGACGTGCAGGCTCAGCGGCCATGGCTCACGGGCCCAGCCGCTCCGCGGCATGTGGGATCTTCCCGGACCGGGGCACGAACCCCTGTCCCCTGCGTCGGCAGGCGGACTCTCAACCACTGTGCCACCAGGGAAGCCCAAGCTTCCAGTCCCTTTGACAAGCTTCCAAAAATCACGATGAGGGGAGCAGTGATGTGAGTCAGCTAAAATGGCAGTCCATCTAAAATTCATTTATATTTGGTTTTAGGATATGCTTTGGTATTTGCCTTTGAACATGAGTTTCAGGGATTACCTGGCCAAGAATTTATAATACTTCAAAAAACAGACTGAAGTCACTGTGAGAATTCGACTCAGAAGAAGTAAGAAAGTTCTCCCAGACCCCTCACGATGCTTTCTCCATGCCAGACACTGATGTGGGACTAATACAAAGCACCAGCCTAAATGAAACACAGACTGCATTTTTCAGTCGTGCCTTCCTTGGCTATACGTTGAAAGGGATAAAAAAAAAAAAATACGAGAAACATATGTCAGGAAGATCATGAAATAAAAATATTTGCCTACCAGGTTTGGACACACAGTTTTTCTGGGCAGGAGCGTGCTGTTTCCCCCTTTGCCTGCCAAAGCAGTAAAGCTATTCTTTCTACTTCACCCGAAACTCTATCTCCAAGATTCGATTCAGCCCCAGTGCACAGAGGTCGAGTTTTCGGCATCACTAGGAGTGGAACCGCTGGATCATTATGATAACTTTATGTTTAATCATTTGAGGAACTGCCAGACTGTTTTCCAGAGCAGTTGTACCATTTTATATTCCTATCAGCAGTATATGAGAGCTCCAATTTCTTCACATCCTCAGCAACACATTATTATCTATGTTTCTGATCATAGCCATCCTAGTGTGTGTCAAGTAGTATTTCACTAGTTGTTTTTTTTTTAATAAATTTATTTTATTTTTGGCTGCGTTGGGTCTTCGTTGCTGCGTGTGGGCTTCTCCCTAGTTGCAGCGAGTGGGGGCTACTCTTCATTGCAGTGCACGGGCTTCTCACTGTGGTGGCTTCTCTTGTTGCGGAACACAGGCTCTAGGCATGTGGGCTTCAGTAGTTGCAGCACGTGGGCTCAGTAGTTGTGGCTCGCAGGCTCCAGAGTGCAGGCTCAGTAGTTGTGGCACACGGGTTTAGCTGCTCCGTAGCATGTGGGATTTTCCCAGACCACGGCTCGAACCTGTGTCCCCTGCATTGGCAGGTGGATTCTTAACCACTGAGCCACCAGGGAAGCCCTCACTATAGTTTTGATTGCCTTTCCCTGATGACTAATGATGTTGAGCATCTTTTTACAGGCTTATTGGCCATTTGTAGATATTCTTCGGAGAAATGTCTATTCAGGTCTTTGTTCATTTTTTAAAGTGGGTTGTCTTTTTATTAATGAATTGTAATAAGTCCTTATACATTCTATCAATAGATACAAGTTCCTTGTCATATTCCCATTCTGTGGGTTGTCTTTAGGAACTACTGTATTTTTTAATAGAAAAAGATCACTTCAGAGCACAAAGTATGATTTTTAGAGTACAACTTTTAAAATAATACTAGCAATGAGCCTGTATTTTTTTTGACAAATAGTAATGGATTAATATACAAATTTAAAACTAGTCATCTGAGGATAAGAAAATGAAAGTCATCCCCAAAATATAACATCCTTTTTTGCCTCTTCTTCTCCACATACAGTCTGCTAGTGTGATATAAATCGTAGTAATTTTGTCACTGGGAAGATGTAAGCATTCTTTGAATGTTCTGATTTGCATAGTGGAAGGAAAGGAAGAAAGCTAGTTGTATACAAAAGAGTTAACACAGCAGGCCTGAGACTACCATCCTTAGAAAGGCCTACTTGAAAGGTAGACCCTGGCTGGAGTCTGGGAGCCTGGATCTCGGGAGGGCTCTCACCATTCCCAGAACTGATAAGACAGGCTCACTGAGCCTAAACTGTATAAACAACGTGGTTTATGGTGAACAGCTATCTTCCTTCTGGGAGTCTGGAATTATGCTAGAAAGAGGGTGCCTATGTGACCAGCCCCAGTAAAAACCATGAGCGCCCAGTCTCTAATGAGCTTCCCTGGTAGCTCTGCATGTGTGGTCACAGTTCAATGCTGGAGAAATTAAACACGTCCCCTGTGACTCCACTGGGAGAGAACTCCTGGAAGCGTGTGCCTCACTTCCTGCAGACGTCAGCCCATGAGCCTTTTCCCTTGGCTGATTTTGTTCCGTAGCCTGTTGTAATACATCATAACCATGAGGACAGCTATATGCTGAGTTCTCTGAATCTTTGTGTAAGCAGATAAGGTAGAGGGTCCCCGGAGAAAGAAAACCAGTCATGGCTTTCTTGACATAAGAGAGGCCATTTTGGCCTAAGCCATTCTGGGATCTAAGCCTGGCCACAATGCTTGCCCTTTAATAGGTCTTAGAAATCAATGATCTTAAGAGAAGAAAGAATGCAGACGCTGACTGTTATCAGGCAAGAGAAATAACAATAGCAAAGATAATATATTAGTTATAAAGACTCCCAGTTCTCTTTCAATGGTAAAGAGTAGCCTGAAGCCTCAACCACCAGATGTAGTGGCACCTAAGGGCTGATGATGTTGACCTTTTCTGAACTTCTGACTTCAATCAGCTAAAGCTTGGACTCTGTTGACCACCCAAGCCCCATCATGAATATGCATGTGCCCTTAGCTTAAAACTTCCCCAATTTTGCTGTTGGGAGAGACACTGCTTTGGGAAAGACCCCCAGTGTTCTCCTTACTTGCTGCAAGGAATAAATCCTTCCTTCTCCCCATCTTTGGCTCCGTTGTGTCTTTTGGCTCAACACTCACCAAGAGGCAAACCAGTTTTCAGGTAACACTAGTAGTGAGTCAGTGAACCTAGGAGTGGTCTTGGGGACCTCCAAAACATGAGGAGAATTAAAAATTTAGCCTTTGGGACAGAATTAAGAGAAGCAGTCACAACAATTGCATAATGTCTATGAAGCAAGATCTATAGTTAAATTCCTTTTTAAAATTTTATCGAAATTCTCACTTTAAATATAGGAGAACTGGGGGTAACTATTAAAAAACAAAGTTACCTAAGTCATGAAGAACTCTAACACTACACAGCTCTCAAATCAGAATTAGGAAGGGAGGAAGGGAGGAAGGGAGGAAGGGAGGAAGGGAGGAAGGAAGGAAGGAAGGAAGGAAAGAAGGAAGGAAGGAAGGAAGGAAGGAGGGAGGGATTGGCTTCAACATAGGGATGCTAAAGCATGTCTGCCTTTCCCTGGCCTTTCATTTTATCTTGAATTTCCATGCTTCCTTTCCATCCCGAAGGAAGGGACCCTTCTGTTTTAGTTAATTTCTCTTTTCTGCATGAGAGCTCCCACAGGCAAGGCAGCTATCAACTGAGTACAATACAAAGGGTTATTAACAGCCCTACAATAGCAGATAATTTTCTCTTGCATAAACAGCAAAAAGCCCATAGGTTCATTTCCCTTGAGCACAAAGCACACAGTTTGTGACCATGTTAATGAAAGTGATATGGCTCTCTTGGGAGGAGGATGACATCCTAAAGCATCTGTTAGGTTTCAGAAACATTGCTACATGAAATGTTATAAGAAATGCTATCAGGACTAGTCACCAAAAAATTCAGTCCCATGGGATTAGCTCTTCAAAAATTTTAAACAGCCTGAAATAAAGGAACCTTGATGGGCTCCTGATTCAAAACGCACACCAAAAAGATATAAAAAGAATCTTGAGACAATTGGGGAAATTTAAAAATAAATTGGAGGGAATTCCCTGGTGGTGCAGTGGTTAGGACTCTGTGCTTTCACTGCCGAGGGCCAGAATTCAATCCCTGGTCAGGGAACTAAGATATCACAAGCCACATGGCTTGGCCAAAAACAAAACAAAACAAAAAAATAAATAAATAAAACATAAAAAATAAATTGGATATTAGATGATATTATACAATTACTTTTAATTTTCTTAGGTGTGATATTATTGCCCTGATGTAGAAGAACATTATTCTTAAGAGACGCATGCTTTATTATTTAGGG